AAGACAGTGCGCACACGCCCGGAGAAGTGGCTTCAATGTGGGCATTCATGGCGCCCTGAAAATTACCAGGAGCGCCCTGACATACCGAAAGCAACAACTCTATAGACTCATGGTGGCCAGCATGGGTGAGAACGCTGTCTTGTATTTCTTCACCCCTCTTGTAAGCTTGATCTGATGATACTAAGAGCAAATCAAGTTGTAGAAAGTATTCTGCTCTGCTAATTCATCCATCAGTTGCTCAAAGATTGGAATGGGAAAAGCAGTCTTGATTTGATTGCGTTCAAATAGCAGTAATCCACGCAAAATCGCCAACTCCGTCCTTCTTGTGTACCAATAACACTGGAGGAATTGAACGGAGAAGTGCTCGGCTGAATAAAGGCCTTGCTGAAGCATGGCATCAACTTGTCTTCAATCATCCTTGGTATCAGTAAGGCCATTACATTCACGGGCCGTGCCCCTTCGGTGAGAAGGAATGGCGTAGTCACAGTCACGCTTGGGTGAAGGTAGCTCTGTAGGTGGTGAAACGACCTCAGGAAATTCAACAACAGTTGTTGACAGCGGAGGTAGATCAGAACTCTGGGCTGAAGGGTGGCAGTCATACTGAAAATCTGAACTAGTAACTCATCGGCACTGTCCCCGGAAGTGTCAGGGCAATAACATGAGACGGACAGTAACACCATTATAAGGAATTGTCAGCCATCTCTGTCGTACAGTCAACCTTCATTGGGCTCTAAATAACTGGAGCCAGTCGATTCGAGAATGATATCATAAGTGTGGGAAGAACCTTCAAGTCATGCTGGAAGGAGCAATCATCAATGGTCCAAGCTGCATTTGGGATGAGTGTGGAACATTGCAGAGTGTTGCCATTAGCAATTTGAACCGAGACTGCTGGGCATTGAACTGGTGCGAGATATTAACTGAGTCACTAGAGTCTGACCGATGAAAGAAGCCAGAACTGCCCGAATCAAGCAAAGATTAATATAGGAGGCTGCTGCATTCTGCCTTGAAACTGAAGTGTTTTGACCGATGTGGCGACCCCGGCCACATCAACCGATAAACAGAGACACAGCTGCTCTGGGGCATCATCTTGAGTGGAATACATCCTAAATGCACGTACTATCTATCTAGAAAATTTAGGCACTGAATCCGGAATATAAATCATGACTAACGCACATTAAAATGTCATGCTATAACATACTATCTAGCTAGATGGATTGAACTAGCATATGAATAATAACTTCACGTGATAGGCAAACATGACTAATCGCTTTGCAGATGAAGTCATCTTGGTTGGTGTAGAAGCAATGTTGTTGACAGGTGCGCACAATGGTGCGAAAAAGCCTAGGACTCGTGGATCGTGGTTGAGGCCGCTCGATGGATCAGAGTTAAAAGCCTAAAACTTTGTTGACAAGAAAGTCTCAACTGATTTCCTTTGTTACAGACGTCATTGTCTTTGTTACAGGGTCACCTACAGGTGTAAATAAACTCATGTTAGGCACCAAGACCAAAGTATGTTAAGCATAAGAAAAATTGAAGAATGACTTACCCTCTCCTGTTTGGACTCTTTCTTTTTGCTGATTCTACCTTGATATGAGGAAAAATCCTATTTTACCATCAAATGTGCAATTTCCATTTGCATCATATCTAGGCCTTGTAACCACAGCTAGAAACATCACCTTTTCTATCAAATTCTTACTTTTAACAGTACGTTGTGGTCTTTCCTCATCATTGGCCAGATAATATTTCTGGTTCTTACGTATGTCCTATAGAACCATTTTTCGTCAATGTACACAACATTGTACATTGGGTTAAAGGACAAGTCATTCATCATGGGCAAACAATATTGTACCCGTGCTTTTTTTGTTCTCATCGGCCAAACTAAACTTAAGGTCATTAGTGTGCGACGAAAGTAACCTTCTTTGAAACGATTATAAAGTGATTTTCTTCACTCCTAAAAGCATTAGCAAGGTCTTGAAAGGTAGGCGCTGCTTTAGAGGAATGTTTTTGAGGCTTCCAAATCAATTTCTACTCGTTTCCTACCACAGTTCTTGGAATATTTGTTCATAATTCCTTGTATTCCACCATCTTGACCATTTTTTCCAAATGGCATGTACAACTCTTAAAGGGACACCAAATTTTTCAGAAACTGATTTGAAACTCCACAACGAAGAATAGGTGGATCAATTTTGACAACAAGTCAAGGTATATAAGCGATCTTTAGATTATCGGACAGTGCTTCCTTTTTTTTGTCATTGGAACCCGGAAGAGTACCAATACAAGATGACTATAGGCTGACTGAGATCACAGAAAACTGAAAAGCAGAAAGCTGAAAAAAAAAAGGTGACTGAAAAGAAGACTGAACTACAACGGGTACTATAGGCTGTCCGACAACACAGATAACTGAATATCAAACTGAAAAAGAGAGAAACGAAAAACACAAAGCTGAAAAAATGACTGAATAACAGACTACGAAAGGTACTGTAGGCTGTCCAACAACACTAAATTTGTTCATAACTATACCTGAAGCTTGCACACCATCGGCTGCAGGTTCAGGTAACTGCACTCCATGAGCATCACCTCCATTTTGTTGATGCAGCTTGCACACCATCGGCTTCATGTTCAGGTAACTGCACTCCATTAGCATCACCTTCATCTCCTTGCTTGCTAAATGCTGCTTACAGAAATAAGTTCATGGACAGAAGTAACAGAAGGCAAAACAAAGATCTTGGTGGATTTGCACCTTGGCTTCCATCGTCCCAAACCATCGCCATGTTACGCTTGGCTTATAAGCACTTTTCAGCCAATGAACAGTATGTTTTTTTCTCACAACAAATCAGCCAACAGTACTTTCAGCTATGACTTATCAACCAAAGCGAACAGGGCCGATACTCAACGATGTCATCCCAATCTATGGGATACAGATCGCCAGATTTAGGTGGCTCTTCATTCAAATCAATGTCCAATGCAGGCATCTAATCTTGCATGAATCAGAGGTGGAGAAAGAAGAGGTGGTGACATGGACAGTGGACTTGCCTGGACGTTTTCATCCTCCTTGGCGACTTATGTAGGCCAGGTAAATTGAAAATGAAACTGAGTATGGCACCAATGAAATTTTGATGCACAGATCGCTGAGTTTTGAATTTTGGCTGCCAAATTTTCGTCCCGACAGGCATGTAATGGAGGTTTTATCCTGGTTACGTGCGTGGGAAAGACCTCTGCATCAGCGCATGCGATAGCAGCCATGGAGATTTAAATGTTTCTCACGGTGCAGGGAAAAAACTGAGTCGCGCGATCACGGCGTTAGGCGGAGATTTAAATCGATGCTCGCGCATTAACCATAATACAGGAGTTAAGGAAAAAAGCCCCATAATATCGCTGCTTCTTGGTCTTTGGCGCAAGGCTTAAGGGACCCGAGACTTATGGACGAGAGAGTATGTTGCAAGTGTTTCATTTGAATGTTGCATATGTTTTTGCAATGGCTTTTCAAATGTTTATAGGTGTTTTGCAAGTGTTTCATTTCAAGTGTTTCATCTGTCTTCGGGACGTATGTTGTAAATATTTCATATGGATGTTTCAAAAATAAATCGGGTGTTGCACATGTTGCAATGGACCACCTGTCACAACCACCTGTTGCAGCTGTGTGAGAAGCGGAGGTGGCGCGAGCAGATCCCCCACGCATGGTGCAGCGGCTGAGGCAATGTCTGGGCGGCCTTGAGACCCGTGTGAAAGCGCACAAAACGCAAGCATGAGTAGCAGGCGTGCTGGGCGCGGAGTGCAGATGCGCATGGAAAATGGAGTGTAAGCACGTGTGTCCGTCCGGACGTCTGGGCACTAACACTACCGTTTACTTTTACTCATTTATTATAGGTAACCTTACAAGAATATATTGATCTTTTTGCACAATTTGATCTGCCCTTACTCCACATAATAGGCCTTCTTGCTGTGACCACACCTACAATATTGTTTCATGGCTCCTGTGTCCGTCCCTTCGGTTCATCAAAGTGACTGCTTTCTTATACCTTGAGTATTTCACTTCTGACGAATTGGCTAACCAATGAGCTAACAATTTATTTCGTTCTGTTTTCCATCCTAATATGTTGCTTCATGAAACAACCAACAGCAAGGTGCCAGCCTGAAATCATCTCTACAAGATAACATTTCAAGACTAATATTGCTCTGTGCCATTGTGAAACTTTGATTTCTATCAGAAATTGTTCAATATCCTTTATCAGAAATTGCTCACTTTCTGACCTTTCTTCTCTATATATGCTCATAACAGACGTGTATCTTAAAGGTTTTATCATCACTCTGCTGTCTTAATCAACAAATATGGTACATAGGCATGAAATAATATACTATTTTTAGCGCAAATTGGTATTCTTGGTTGCGCCTGCAGCTTGCTTACGTGTACTGGCTAGTAAGTATGGAAACCCTTGCGTCTAGTAATGCAGCTTTCTCCTCATGGAAAACTCAAACAACCAAATGTGCACATCAAGCTAAAACGCCAGCACATCTTTAGAGTTTAGACCATCAAAGACCAGAGAATTGTATGCATATAATAAAGCATGAGTTTGGTCCAGCTACCCAACTAATTGCATCTAGTTTCACAAGAGCCATATATATATTGCAAGGGTATGGAGTAGAGTAGATGCGGTGCAGCCTAACGGAATATATAGCCATGACTAGTTCTCTCACTCAACAAACAACACAAGGATAAATATTCAAATAATCCGAGACCACGACCACATGAAGCACAAGACAGCATTAAGCCGTTACGACCTTAAACACCAAACGATCCGTACGAGTTGTAATAAGGTAGATACACAACCAACACAGTCAAATACATGAAACCAAAGAACTAGAGGTTCCCGTTGGCACCTCTTGGATTGCCATTATGTCACTGGGTCACTGCTTACTTTATTATGCAGGAACGACAATCAGAAGTCAGCAGATATCTGCTTGCCAGTTGACGAAAGGAAGCCACCAGATACCGTCTGCTATTATTCAGCTGCAACATTTCCACCGCCGCGTCCAACAAGACCTATCAGCAGACAAACATGTTTAGATGCTATCATAATTTCACAGTAAAGCGGGTACAAAGTCATTGGTTAGAGAAGCAAAATTAGCAATTGCATTTCACTTCAGCATAACAACCGATTAAAAATTCAAGCAAGGTTTCATTCCTGCAACTAAACATGACATGCATGATTTATCTATTCCCCTGGTGTAATGAAATAGAAACCAGCAAAGCATTCAGACCTGCTAAAGATAATACATTAGGATCTGCATAACCAGGAATAGAAAAATTATATATTTGTAACGAAAATAAAAATCTGTGCATCATGGTGGAGAACAAGCACCTTGTCATTTTTTCTATTAAACAGTGAGCAGCCTTCTGTGTTTTCTCGGCTAAATAATACAGAATAAAACAGTTGTGCAACAGAGAACATCAGAACAATAGCCTAACACCTCAAAAAATATACAAGCGAGGCACCACAAAAGGGAAGAAACTGGGAATATTAAACACTACAGCAACAAATATTTTCTTCCTGACCACATATTTTCCCTCAATATAAGATAACAGAAACTAACTTAAAACTGAGAAAGACTCAAGCAATCTTAAACGCTGATCACAGTTGGCACTGATTTATCATCAACAACTATAACCAATCAATTGTATAAGCGCTGCTCATATAAGTCTAACTGGGATTAAAACAAGATGGCCCATCATTAACATGATTCACTAACACAAAATAAAATAATCTGACAAAAGAATAAACAATTATATCTTTCTTCTCTTGGATACAACAGTCAAAATTATTCTTTCCAGCATTGTAACATATATACATGGAACAAGAATAGAACTGTTAAGTTTTCATTGGTCACATAGATCCACTATCGCTAAATTCATAATATCTCCGCCCTATTTTTATGTATACAACACATGCAAGTACCCTCTATTTTTTTACAAGGAATATTTCATTTTGTTAGGACAATGCTTTGACTGAAAATTATTCCATTAATATATTAATTTATGTGATACAAAATTATGACCATGATACAGTATTTTAATATGGATTCAACAACATCAATCTTGGGTCACAAAATCTATGTATTAATAGAGTATAATTGCTGGTGAAAGGCATGTCCTAACAAAACATAGTAAGCCTTGTAATTTTAAACGGAGTTAGTGGAAATTAGGAATTCAATCAGTACTGAAGACCATGTCAAGGACCCATGTGCAAAACAACCAATATTTAAAGACAAGGGAGTATTAAAATATTAATCACAAACTACAAATAACAAACCTGAAACCTCTATGTTCAAAACAAGGACACATTCTAGGAAATATAGGTAAATTCAATCTATTCATCCATGAAACACAACATATTTCAATAAAATATTCTGGTGCAGCCACCCAGTTCAAAGGTTACAGATAGCGAAGTTTACTAATACAAATTTCATAAAAAAACTCATGAAGGTGCATCAAGATGAAACAGAAAACAGGGCAAAGGGTGATGTCAAATCATATGATGTAAGCACATGTGAAAGTGCATCTAGCCCTTTAGTGGGTTTTGGATGATTGAATGACAACGTGATTAAAGGTCTAACCCGTTTTGCTAAGTGTGGACAGGTAATAGATTATCTCACAGGTACTTAATGAAAGCCAAAATGATGTGTTGTTATATAAACAATCTAGTTCAAGCACAAGACAACAATGCAAATAGAATTCATGCAAAGGCTTATTTATTGTGGGATTTTCATGTACTATCTGAAAGCAAACACGATAAGAATTAATTAATGAGACATGACGGATTGCATATGGAGTGGTCTCATATTTGAAGCTTGCTAAATTAAAATGAAAAAGATAACAATACAAATGAATGGATGATTCAACACAAGATGTGACTTGATGGCTTGAGATGGTGAAGATAGTAAGGAAAGGTTTCAAGGTACTAAGCAAGGGTGAAGGGCAGCGATAGCTTGGCGGTCGAAAAACCTAGCTAGGGTGAAGAAGAAAGTACTTGCATTTAATTGATGTACTAATCAAGCTAAGATGGTCGTATTGATGTGGAGGATCAAATCTATATTGGACAAAGTGTTGGAAGTGACTTAATGCATTTGGAGTTATTCATATTTGATGAATGGAATCAAGTCACGTGCTCAAGATGTCTATACTCAAGTGAAAAGATCAATATCAACATGTTGGCACCCTTACTTGATGAAGATTGAAAGAGACGACATCAATTCAAAAGAGATCAACTCAAGCGGTATAAATTCGTTTTTCCTTTGATCTTGAGTTTAATAGGTATGCCATACTATTAAGAGGGATGCATCATGTTGATAGATAATCATTCATAAGTGCTCATGCCAAGCCATGTGAGTTTTGAGTGTTTAAGAGACAAAAGAGCTAACTTGTTTTTTGCTGGTCTGTCATATTGATACCGGATGTGTCCGATATTTGCCCAGCCACGGTAAAATACTTGGTGTTCTCGGGTTGGTTCGTCGGGGAGTTCCGACGTAAGTCGGAAGTTCCGACAATCGTCGGGAGTTTCGACGTTTGCCGCTTAACCCGACTTGAAGAGTTGATTGTCTAGTCACACCGGACGTGTCCGTATGATATCGGACGATGTCCGTATAGTAGGAGACGAGCTCAACGACTAGTTTTCAAATGAGCTGAGGGTCGGGAGTTCTAGCATTCGTCGGGAGTTTCGACACCTCACATACTTTAACTCACTTACTGTTGGCGTAGTGTAAGTCATAACGGACGTGTCCGGTATGGCAACGGCTACATAACGGCTAGTTTTTCAAAGGGGCTATAAATACCCCCTTAGCCTCTACCTTTGAAGGTTGCTGATTCTGCTGGTTGCAATACACGTTTTTGAGCCTTGCCAACTCTCACAAACCCTCTCTAGTGAGTGTGTGATCCAAATTGCCAAATCCATTTGTGGGTTGAGAGAAATTCAAAATTGAGAGCAAGCCACCACTTGAGCACTTGTGCATATTGTCTATTTCGTGATTTGCATTTGTTACTCTTGGAGTCTTCGATCCTAGATGGTTAGGCGTCATCGGAGAGCACCCGAGAGATTGTGGTGTGCCTTGAAAAGTTTGTAACGGTCGATTCTGCTGCCTCAGAATCAACTAGTGGAAGGAGGAAAAGGAGTTGAAAAAGAGTCTGGCTAGAGTGACCTTCGTGGTATCCTCTAGGACTGACTTTCGCTGGGTCGCCCGCAGCCCCTCAATGGAGAGTATGACTCGAACAAGTCCGAACTTCGGTAAAACAAATATCGTGTCTTAATTCGTATTTTATTTGATATTTGTGTTGCTCTAGCTCTTGTACAGGTTATCTGCGTATCTTGTTATCTCTAGTAGGTACCTGCAGTTTGGTTTAAAAATAGAAATCGAAAGGAGAAAGTTTGGGGCTATTCAGCAGAACACGTGTATAGCGGACACGTCCAGTATTAGAGCTCAGTGCTGAATTTATTTGATCTATGTTCTAACTCTTATGTTGCAGGTTCTAGGCTCCTAGGATTATTTAATATTGTTTATTTACTCATTGGCTAACTTGTGGGGGGTTGTATTACTCTTAATTTGGAGTTTCCATTTTGGAAACTCCAATTACTAAATTGTTTCCGCATTTAAAGATATTAATTTTCAGAAACACCTATTCACCCCCTCTCTCGGCGGCATCCTAGGTCCTTTCAATTGGTATTAGAGCAAGGTTCTCACCTAAAGCTTCACCGCCGTGAGAAAAGGATGTCGATGCCTATCGAGTTGGAGCCGGTGCTTCTCCAAAATGATGGTTTAAACTTTTTACCTTGGTCAATTCATGTACTCAATACTTTTAGAGATATTAGTCCTCTTGTTGAGCATATTGTGGATGCAAGCATACCTCTTCCTATAGTTGATTAGAGCAACTATAAAATTTTGTCAAAAGAGGAACAGATATGCGTGCAACTCAATGCTCAAGCTATTAATATCATTTTAAGTACATTGAGTGCAGAGGTTCAAGATGAGGCAATCTTTAATGGACAACCACCTCCGGAGAGTGCTCATCTCATTTGGAGTAGACTTGTTGAATTATATGGAAAATCCAAATGTGATGATGCTATTGAGTGCAATTCAATGGAAAGTATGTCCATTGTGTCTATTGCAGCGAAGAAGCTTCACCAGACCTCAAGAGCGCCGAGCCAGAGCAAGAAGTGCAAGCAGCGCATGACCTGTTGTCTGCCTGCACATACCGGTATGCCTACCGGACGTGTCCGGTATGGCCGAGGCAGCAGAGCAGCAAGCAGCTGTTTGCAAGGATGCTCAAGACCAGTTGCGACCAAGTGGAGTCAACCTTAGTATCTCATGATTCTCATCACTTGTGTCTCATGGCCAAGAAAAGCAAGAAGAAGAGTAACAAGAAACATCAAGAAAAAGAGAAAGCACAAGTAGATGATCAAGATAAGAGTGATGTTGAAGTTGAAGACAACTACAACATTGATCATCTCAACCGCAAAGACAAGTTCATCATCATGAAGATAGTTGAAAAAAATGATGAGCTAGAGGAAGAGAATGAGAAGCAAGAGCAATCACTTCAACGTCAAGAAATGTTTCTCATCTCCAAGTTAGAAGAACTAAAGGAAATCAATGAGAGGTATGAAAAATTATCAATTGAGCATGTTTTAGTTACTAGCTCATCTTCTAGTGTTTCACAACTAGAGAAGAAAAACTTTGAGCTCAAGGCAAGGCTAAATGAACTATTAAGCAAGTATAATGTGCTACAAGCAAACTATGTTCATCTAAAGTACTCTCATGAGGAAGTAGTAGAATCAAGCATCATGCTTGAGGTGGCTCATGAGGTTATGATCACATCAGTAAAATTTTCTCAACCTCTCACACATTCACTCACTAGTACACCATCTCACTTAAATATTTCTTGTACTAATGAGTGTGCTCCTCAAGCAAGCCAATCTTCGATTGAGCTAAATCTCATAGAAAACATAGAGCTCAAAGATGAGATAGAAAAATTAAAGAAAGATGTGATTCGATTGAAGGGTAAGTGAAAGGTCCTAATGGCTAGAGGGGGGTGAATAGCCTAATAAAATTCTACAACAACACTTAACAAAATGTGTTAGACAATTTTGCGGCGAAGCGAGTGTTGCGCTAGCCTACTAAAATGCAAGCCACCTACCACAATTCTATTTTGAATAGTGTATGTCCACACAATAGCTATGACACTTAGCTAAATTAGTGTGCTCTCAAAGACTAACTAAAGAGCAACACTAATCAAACAA